CTGAGAAGGGAAATGCTGGTGGACCCTGGTGGGGCTGAGTGGCCAAAGCCCTGAGCACCCTTGCCCAGTGGCTGAGATGCCTCTGTCATATGGTGTGGCCATGATCCCTTGGCCACCAAAGTCCAGGGCTTGAGCACATGGACCACACAAACACTGCAGTGTCTCCAACTATTTCTGCTCTATGGCCACAGCTGTCACAATCAGCAGCTACCAGCCTCAGGCATAACTCCCTTCAGGATCTGGTCACAGGATTTCCTTGGGCATTTCCATGGGGATTCCCTTCTATGCAGGCCTGATGCAGGAGGTAAAGACACTGGTCAGGAAAAGAGCAGCCTCCTCCAATCTTCCCCAAAACATTCTCATTACAAAAAAGACCAGCAGGGAAAGAGGGAAAACTGGAAGTTATGCAGGGCCATGAGCTGGGCACCTCTGTCTCCCACGGAAGAAGAACTCAGGGAAACTGGGGCAGGGAAACTCGTGCTTTGCTTAGGCTCTGCAGAACCTCCCGGCATTTGGTTAATCCAACCTGTAGCCAGAAGAGAAAAGCCTGAGGGGGCTCTGCTCTTTACCTGTAGTTGCTGAGCTTGTCGTCACTGCTGTGCTGGAAGATGTTGTAGGTGCTGTAGGAGTTGTTGTAGGTGCAGTAGTGGATTCTGATGAAGGGAAGAGACATGGCAGCATTGCTGAGAATTGTCTGCTTAAAACAACCTTGGGGAATTCTGTATGTGTAGGGCAACCTCTGAGAAGGAAAATACTGGTGGTCCCTGGTGGGGCTGAGTGGCCAAAGCCCTGAGCACCCTTACCCAGCCCCTGGGCTCTCCCTGGCTGCGATGCCTCTGTCATATGGTGTGGCCATGATCCCTTGGCCACCAAAGTCCAGGGCTTGAGCACATGGAGCACACACACACTGCAGTGTGTCCAACTATTTCTGCTCTATGGCTACAGCTGCCACATCCAGCTGGAATCAGCCTGTGGCATAACGCCCTGCAGGATCTGGTCACAGGATTTCCTTGGGCATTTCCATGGGGATTCCCTTCTATGCAGGCCTGATGCAGGAGGTAAAGGCACTGAGCACAAACACAGCAGCCTCCTGCACTGTTGCCCAACATATTGTCTATAAAACAAAGACCAGCAGGGAAAAGAGGGAAGAGTGGAAATGATGCAGGACCATGACTTGGGCACCTCTGTCTCCCATGGGAGAAGAACTCAAGGAAACTGGGGCAGGGGAACTGGTCCCTGCTTGGGGTCTGCAGAACTCCCTGGGATTTGATTATTCCAACCTCTAGCCAGAAGGGGAAGACTGAGGGGGGCTCTGCTCTTTACCTGTAGTTGGTGAGCTTGTCGTCACTGCTGTGCTGGAAGATGTTGTAGGTGCTGTAGGAGTTGTTGTAGGTGCAGTAGGAGTTGTTGTAGGTGCAGTAGTGGATTCTGATAAAGGGAAAAGAAGAGACATGGCAGCATTGCTGAGCATTGTCTGTTTAAAAAAACCTTGGGGAATTCTGTGTGTGTAGGGCAACCACTGAGAAGGGACATACTCGTGGTCCCTGGTGGGGCTGAGTGGCCAAAGCCCTGAGTACCCTTGCCCAGCCCCTGGTCTCTCCCTGGCTGAGATGTCTCTGTCATCTGACATGGCCATGACCCCTTGGCCACCAATGTGCAGGGCTTGAGCACATGGACCACGGTAGTGTGATGCAGATAAACTGAAGTGTCCCCAGCTTCTCTCTGCTCTGTGGCCACAGCTGTCACATCCAGCAGCAACCCGCCTCAGATACAACTCCCTGCAGGGTTTGGTCACAGGATTTCCTTGGACATGGAGGTAAAGGCAATGGGCAGGAAAGAGCAGCCTCCTCAACCCTTCCCCAATGCTCCCTCCTTGCAGTAAAGACCAGCAGGGAAAGAGGGAMRTGTAGAGAGTATTCATAGTCTAGACCTGSGCCCCTTGACCTGAGTGACCACTGTCCCTCCTGGGACAGGAACTTGGGGGAACTTCAKTGGGGGCTGCAGAACTCCATGGGACTGTCCCCAGAAGGGGCTGCCTGAGGGCTTTGCTACATACCTGTTGTTGTTGGGGTTGTCGTTGCTGATTCGATACCAGGTTCTTGAGCAGCTGTTTCTGATGAAGGAAAAAGAGACATGGAAGCATTGGGGAACTCTGTGTGCAGGACAACTTAGGAGCAGATAAATGTGAGGCACCTGTGTRTTGCTGAGCAGCCACAATTCTGGACAGCTTTACCTCACCCTTTTGTCTGTCCCCTGCYCCTCATGTGCCTTTGGTGTTGTTTTTTCTCTCATTCTCCTTCTCTCACACCCTGCACTTGGACTCTTCCTAACCAGAAGCAGGTTTRTACCCTCCCTGCCTTTCTCCTCCAGGTGAGTTAAGCTGAGTTGTAGGCACACACATTTCTCCCTGCAGTGCCACATGGCAGGGCAGACTCTGAGGTATCCCATCCATGAGCACAGACTCTCTGGACTCAGCACCACTGGAGCATCATTTTAAATTCCACCTAAACTCTTCCAGAGCAGRTTACTAACACACACTCCTGTCCTGMAACTAGTCCACGCGRACATGGACAGCAGTTTATTTCTGTTCCAGGAATACTTGTTCTGCTACATTATCATCAGTGGTGTTATGATCCTCTTTCCCTGGTCTACACTTCTGTGCATTTTGGACAGTATAYATWATTTTTTTCTTTCTATTCYTTCCTTGTCGTAATTCTTTTTRAATGCARAGAAACCTGGCTGATACCAGACAACTGGTAAAAATACTTTCTCAAACTTTGGCTTCACCCTTTGTTATTGCATTTACTATTCCAAAATATTTTAGTTATTTATTTTTATGTTTTTGGGTTTTGCTTTATTTAACCTATGTCATTCTCAACTCCTCATAAAAAGAATGAGTTCAGGTTTGAGGGKTTTTTTGTTTGTTTTGTTTTTTCTTAGCCCTAAGAAGAACAAATAATAAACCCACCTTCCTGATACATGTGTGATACTGACAAATGACCAGTTTGGATCATGTAATCTTACTTTCATGTGAATGAGTTAATTTATGTGYTAGGAATAAATTTATTTACTCTAGGTAATGCTGCTGCAATCATGATTTAATCTAAAGCATTAATAACATGCAGCTGAAAGACTAATGTTTTTGTGGCTAAAATCCATGTCACTATCACACACTGCAAATCTCAGCAGACATTTGAAAAATAGACCCCACTTTTCTAGGGTTTTGAAAATCCAAAGCGARGAAAATCTTCTACACCTTTTTTCTGCTGGTCAATGTATCTCACATAGAAAAAAACCCACACAATACACAAGTAATCCTAGCCCCCTCTAGGTGAAGGGGAAACGTGAGCATTTGTGCCAGTTTCCTGCCAGGTCTCCTGCTTCCACATGGTCWCTGAGTTCCATACACAGCATTGTTTGTTTCACACTCAGTGTAAATGAATATTTTTCCTATAACCATGGTAATGTGACTCTACGCTGGCCACAGGCAATTGATGTTGGAACAACAACCTGTTACAGAGCTAGTGCTTTTTTTTAGAACAATGTTAGACCTGGGAGGCTCTGGCTAMAGTTGTCCAGGAGTACCCTTTGGACTGGGGAAGAACAGCATCCGTGGTGACAGCAGAGCACATGAGCTGCAATTGAACCTTGTGGATGGGCTTGACAAAGGTAACCTGAGCAAAGGTAGCCAATTTATGGCTCTGTGTGCCTAGACTCAACCTTCTGTGTAAGGAAACAGGATGTGTTAATGGGCTYGGGCATTACTGCTGCGATAAAGAAATGGATGTTACCACCAAGGCTGTACAACAGCAGAGAYATCTGGCTGCTGAGCAGGGTAGGGCCTTTGCCAGAACTATTCAGATGGACATCTCCTGCAAAGCTGTTACAATCTTTGCTAAGAATGAAAAAAGTTCCTGAGCAGACATATGCTGATGCAAAATCTGGTCGTGAGAAACGTATATTGCTTTCAGTAACTCTTGGGTCAAGATTTTTCACATCTTGCTGTTACCTACAAGTCTCCAAACAGAAAACCAACCAACTGACAGTCTTGAAGATTTCTATGCTTATGATTTACAGCTGAAAATTGGTCTGTAGCATACAGTGGATTTGCTGGAAATACCTATGTTAACCCACAGTAGTCAACACAGACCCACAACTGTCTGCCACCAGTTGCAAGCTTAACAGGTCTTAATATGGCTCATATCTCTGCAATTTTATCTTCGTGTTACCTAGGAGTTCCTGTCCTCTCACAGCTTCAAGTTGCCACAAAACCCTTCATTACAGATCCTTTACCTCTACTTCTGCTAATGCCTTCAACCCCTCGTACCTGTCACTGAGCAACAGGGAAAGGTAAGTTTGGCCGTAGGCTCTGGCCCACAGCTACCAAATTTGTCACAATGCCAGAAAAAGTCCTAAGCAGCTTAAGGAATCACACCTGCCCTTTAGTTTGAACAGACCACGGTTCAACCCTCTTGAAAGGTGGTGGTGATGTTTCCATTATTTATTTCACCAGGAAGGAACAAAAGCTCTGTGAGCCAGCTCAGGTGGAGCAGCTTTCCAGACTGGTTGGTTTAGGAGCCTCTGGTCAGAAGGGTACTGGCRTGAAACAGTTGCACCTTTTGTTATGACTGTAACCAAGCTTGAATTACCTTGGTTTAGTATCAAAGTCCTGAAAACTGCGTTTGGAATAGTCTAAATTAGGTTAATCATAAGCACCAGTGATTTTCCATTGTTCTGTGAGCAAGGAAAGCCGTTGACTTGGAGTGACATCTTTCATCATTAATTAATCAAAATCTAGACATGCTGAATTGCATAGCACAACTTCTCAAAAGCTGCTGAAAGCACTAGAAAATCCATTCACTGCCACACAATAGCTGCCCTGATAAATCACAAAACAGAAGATAGTGTTTCTTACCTTTCGAAAGGCTCAACACCAGGCTGAGCCACAGAGCGAGGAACACAGAGCGTCTCATTGCCACTTCGCCTGCTGCTGCCCCTTGCTGCTAAGCCTAAGAGAAAGTGCCTTTCTCTTCTGGCGTCAGCTTATTTAAGGTCCCAGCCACAGGTGCAGAGCTCAGCTCTGAGCTGACGTCACGGTGACAAGTGGCAAATGATAAATTCAAGCAGTGTTTTTCTTCCTCCTCAGGCTGGGAGGAGATTTCTGGACCTGCAGCGTTCTTCCTTTAAGTCATAAATACTTGAGATCTGTTGACACAAGGAAGTTACTGCTAAATAAGCTGACATGGGAACTGACAGCACACCAGCTATCCCCCTGCCAGTTTTCCATACCAACACCTTCCGTACAAATTAAATGAAGGGTGCACTATAATCTGTTCTTAAAGTGGAAGGGGTGATCCTACCCCAAGGCATTCTAAATATGCACTTGGAAAAGAGTGCCTGGGATCCACACACTCACTTCCCTTACAGTAAATTAACACTACAGGGAAGCTTAATTGCTCAAGCTCCAATTACGTTTTTCTTAGAAGCAAAATCTTACACCAAGGCACTTCTTACTGCTTCACACAGTAAAAGGAAATAGAAAATACTGCACCTTTGACATCAAAGAAACAGGACAGATGCTGGCCCTTCTGGCAGTGATCATGGCTGTTTTGTTTGCTGCCCTCTTATGTGTGTTGTGGGCTCACTAAAGTGGTGGCCCAAGAGGAGGAGGAAGAGGAGGAGGCAGGCAGGACAGCCAGCAGGTGTTTGTCTTTATCCAAGTGGCAGCCTGCCTTTACTGAGAGGAAGTGTATTCCTGCTGGTGAGACATTTGTAACCAGGGGTGGTCAGGCTGGAGCAGGAAGCCTGTAGCAGATCTAGAAATGACAAACAGCCCAGRAGGCCATGAAGCAGGTAATGCAGCTGTGATGCAGGAAAAAAGGCTGGAGACTGAGACTTTTTAACATTGCATTTGAGAGAACTTCTGAAAACAGCCAGTGASAGATCAAGATGGGAAACAAGGTCTTTGTGGGCAGGATTTGGTTCTCCCAAAGTCTCTCATGGTTAGATGCCTCCCCTGTCCAAGTTCTCCAGCCTTTCTTCTGCTTTGCACTCCAGTAAATGCACTGCTTGAGATCAGGTGGGCCACAGTGATTTCCAGTTCCTCCYTTTCAGGCAAAGATGTAACTTCTCTCATTTTGAAGCTCTGAATGACTCTGCCACAACTGCCAGTAAAGTCTTTCTCTGAAGTAAAAGTAAACACAGGTTATCCCATCATCATCAGACACAGACAAGAAGGATAAGCARCCCATCAGAGTATCCCCTGCAAAGCCATTTCTAATGGCCATGGGGCTGGTCTCTGCTGGCAAACTCCATTGCCAGCAGCACAGGCAGGTCATGAACACACTTCTGAGTGCCAAGTAACACCTCAATGTGGTAAATGCCTCTCCCTTCGTCTGTTATGTTTAATCTTCTSTTTTAAGAACAAGAAATACAGTCTWGGGTAATCTCCTATATTGAGAGGGTGGCTCTCCYTGAACAGAGAAGGGTGAGAGAAACCCGAAGTATTAGTCAAGTAATTCCTGAGCTTAGGGTTGTCTTAAATGTTTAACTTGCACTGAACCAGGAAACGCTGCTGGCTTGCAGGCAGCAAAAATGGCTGTCTGCCCCTCTGCTGGCACAAGACACAAGAGGCCTCATCCCTCTGTGAACCTGCTCGGGAAGCTGAGCCTGAGACGTGTGGGGCTTTGCAGTCCTTTGTCCCTCAATCCCCAAAGCCCCTCCAGTACAACCTGCTCCCCACACTTATCCATAGTCCCCACAGTGACTGCCTGGCAGATTCTCTCACTGTCTCTACCCCTTCAGGCCATCCTGGACTCAGCTCCTGCCCCGCTGCTGCTCCCTCCCACGCCCACTACCTATCCCAGATCGTTCAATTCCTCCAGGCCCCTCCTTAAAACTGATTTGCCAGGGAACTGACAGAATAGAAGGAAATGCATGGGAAATATTTGTCCGCAGTGCCTCCCTGCTTGGCCAGTGTCCAGCCTCCACCCCAGGCCACCATCACCCTCCCAGCTTCAGGGGACATCCAGAAAATAATCCCAAAGTCTCATCAGAGTAACATATTTCAGTGYTGTGAGCTCCAGACTCCAGGAGGTGGTTCAGAGGGGAATGGGTGTGCAGAGGAGGACAAACCTGGATGCTGGAGAGTTTTTAGCAGTATGTCACCCATCCTCTGGCAATGTCCATCTCCCACTCTTCAGTCTTCATGATACACCCCGATTTTCCAATRCTGCCTCAGGGTGCAGCCAGATTAACCCAGGTCTTAAAATCTCCCTGTTGGCTGTGAAGAGAGTGTGTTCTCAGGGCACTACTGAAAAGGAGGGCCAGGCTTTCAGGAGGAGTAAATGGTGCAGTTTTGCTGCCTACACAAGAACCTGCTGGTTGAGTGTGCAGCCCTGCACATTAGAACTGCTCTCTACAGTGAATGCACATCAGGAGCTGCTGTATTACCTGTATTTTTAAACTTTACATCCATTCCTACCTGGTTGTTTAGGTTTATTATCATCACAGCGTGAGTCATTTGCAATGCAAAAGGCCCCAGCTCCTCCAGGAAATAATGCACTGAACAGACAAACATCTTCATGGACCAGAACTTTTCATCTCTGCTTGCCCTTTCCTGCCCATTTTGTGACACACCGGTGGTCACAACAGTCTCTCTCCAGGAAGGAGGATGACCAAAAATGTACCCCATTGCCTGATGATTTGTGGGGGAATTAGTTATGGAGATATGGTTGTTTAGGAGAACAGACACAGAGAATTACCAAAATAGGAGAACTGATACCAGTGAAATAGCAGCTCTGGTACAATTAATAATTAAGTCATTAAGCTCACATTTAGATAATAAAAGACTGTTAGTCCAGACAAACTCACACAGCCAGTGATGTCCTGCAAGGGACTGCAGAGAACTTCCTTTGCAGAAATAACTCAGTAACTTTCCAGAGGCTGTAAAATCAAACCWTTGTGTGTCAAAACTCAGATATGAYTGTCAGATATTACAATCAGGAACACTGAACAATTATTGTGGAATAAAAGATATGCTATGTTCAGTAACAGTAGTTGCTCTACTCGGTATTTGTTACTGGCAGGGAAAAGAAGTATCAAAAGTAAAGGGTCTTATTTATCTATTAGAAAGTGCATAGTCCTGTGTAGCCTCATTATGTAAGTGGCATGTAATCAAGAGGCAATCATGCTATCAGAAGACATGCATTAAAGTAGGGAAAAGTGTCTTTTACAGCTCTTTATGTGCATGAGCTCGATACTTTCTTTCTGTTCATTTTTCAATCCTATTCCTTACTAGATTCCTATATATTTTGCTATCTCATGTAAATTTGTTTCATCCACATAGAGGACATATATAAGTAGAACTATATGTCTTATTTAGCTGGAAGTTAAAAAAAAAATACTTCAGAAAGCCTAAATCAAAGTGCTATAGATATAGATCTATGCATAATCAAGTGAAGCAGATGCTCTTTAAGGTCTTTTCAGGTGCTTCCCAAGATGGTTGAGGGCACACACTATGGGGATGCATTCAGCTGTCTCAGAGGCACAGGCATGCAAAGCTGAAATGGGACTGTTAAATCATGTGCCTGTCCATAATTCCAAAGGTCTTTTACTCAGACCCATAGAAATGTTGTGACCCATCCTTTTACAGTCATTTTCCTTAAAAAGATGCCAACATCACATAAAAAGTAGAATAACCTGAAACAGTCATGGTGAAGAAACTCTTACCATGGGGTGTGCTACCCTCTGAGGATGCTTGTCTCTTTTCTTGGCTGCTGGGGGAGCCAGATGGTGTGATCAAGCTGGTCAGCCAACTTTTGACAGAACAGATGAATCTCACCTTAGTCCCATCTGATTGYTGCCACAATTGTACTGCTCTAGAGACATACAGGAAAAAATTGCTCCAAACGAACCTACCTGCTCCAGATGCTCTTCCACATCATGCCTCTTCCCCACAGCTCAAGYTGGACTTGGTGTTCATCTGGACTCAAGGTGCCTCCTTCTTCCTTTGAGGGACACTCAGCTGTATWTTCCTCACAGTCCCCTATGGCTTTTCCTGGGACAGGACTGATCCCACTGTGGCCAGGTCCAGCCCCTTGCCCTTGCAAACAGTCCTGCTGCACCCCCCTCTCCCAAGGTTTTCCTCATCTCCAGCATGCACTCACACACATAAACACACAACTTCACCAATTCCAGTTAAAAATAAACTGAGGGAAAATTAAAATTAGCCTGAGTTGCTCAATGCCACCAGGATAAATATATCAGAACACAACTTATATTTCAGCTGAGCAGTTCCTTTGGCACGACTAACAGAACATACCATTTCCTCTTGGATTTTCAATTTAGTCATTCGATCAGGAAGTACTATCAGAAGAACAAAAGAACTATGCAATTCCTTATTTTCTGGATTTATAATTATAATTAAAAGCACCTAAAAACTGCATGCTTCTCTTTACAGGCAAAGCTAAAGACAATAAAAACACAGGGACATTGTAATATTCATTGTTTTATTGTATCCTTTCATAATGCTGACTAGAACGCCAGATTTAATAACATTGGATGCAGGTATAAAAATAATCCAATCATTAAAAATTATATTTTGCTACTACAGTACTGTATAATTAGTGGAGGCTGAAAATATGATACAACTTTAAATAATACTGGTTTGGGAAACRTCCTCAGAACCCCAGAGATGTGGAACCAAACATTCAGAGAGAGAGGGAAGGAAATGGAGCAATGTCAAGAACATAAAACAGGTTTACATTCATGTTGTAAAGAAGAACAAACAAATGCTGAAAATTTACCTTTTGAAAGAGATGTCACAAAAGGTGAGCTTTACTACTGCAATTCTGGAAGCTGCTCAAATAAATCATCATGATTTTACACACCAAGTTTGACCTTCCGCTAGGAGAAAGTCCTGTAGAATTTATAGGATTTAAAGCAAATGACTGAGTTTAACAGGATTTCMTTTAAAGAAGGAATCTAGTAAGTATTTATGTTGTTGAGTTTTGGGTTGGTTTTTTTTTTCTTTAAAATAAACACATTCTAGTAGATTTTATTGTAGACTTTTTATGTCTGGTGAATTCTATGGCCCTGTTCACAAGACCTGACCAGTGATCAGTGTTTACTGTATTCCACAGGACTTTTCCATACAGGATTTTACAGACCTAGGTGCTKCCTGTTGCAGTCATTAACCCAAGTAAGACTCCCATCCCTTCCAGCCTTTCACTGAAATAGAGACTGAGGAATTTAGCATTTAAATACCACTTTGGAGGAACATTAGGCACCTTCTCCAGATGTCCCCTCAACAAGGATATTATGCAACCCAGATGAGACACAGAAGAGGTGTCATCCCACACATGACCTCACAGTACTGAAACCATGCTTCTGCAAAATAAGTAAGCTTTCTCTTTTTCTAGATTTTACYGTTTCTAACCCCTTCATGTATTTCTTTTCTGCTTTTCAACTTCAGCAGTTCAAGGTAATGATGAATTAAATGCACATTGGAAAGGTCCCAAACTCTTACAAGCACACAGCACAGTCCCCTTCTGAAGCTAGGAGATTGTGCTTAATTTCTAAAGGGACAATTAAGAGTGACCTTAATTAAGAGTAGTTGATATGTGTGACTGCAGAAAGCAATTCTACATGCCTGGGTGTTACATGATAGGAAATAGGCTCGCTGATCAGTAAAACAACTACACAAAATTCACATTCATTCTCTTCCCAGGAAGCTATTTCAGCTCTTGAAGCTGTTTAGTTCACTCTCACATAATACAGGTCCTGCTACAGTAGTAAGTAAGCTTTTTTAAAAAAAAAAAATAGATGGAACATGGAAAGACAGCAACAGAAATAGACACGTAGAGCCACAGGAAAGCATGTAGTAGACATAGGTGATCCTGGTGGTGGAATAATTCAGACCTAAAAAAACCCAACATTACATGAGAGAATTACCCCAGTCAGTGTAATGAATGCTGGATGACATCCTTCGTGTGTAAAGAGGAAAAAACATTAGTCAGCATAGGAAGAACATTTAACTAAAATGCATCCGTTCTTGTTAATTTAAGGAAGAAAGCTGAAGATTACTATGAGGGAATGAACAGACCATCTGGATTYGGAATGGATATGGCCATTGATCAGCATTAAAGAAAAGTCTCAGGAAGCATTTKGCRTATCTGCAGCAATGTCCAAACCCAYTYTGMGCTCACTCAGGTYCCAGCAAGCAACMTGTACAAGTATTGGCACAAACAATTTCACAGCACCTCTCTCTACCTGCAATTTACTGCCATTTTTAAAGCCTTTTACCACCCTTCAGTGTGGAGGCAGATAACTTTCACAAGGCTGTTCACGAGCAGTAATTCAGTACATAACTGTGCCAGTGGAGCTGATGGGAAATGCAACAATAGCAATGAGATTCATTGATGCTATAAAACCTAATGCTTGCAATGTGGGGGAAAAGGGCATCAACATAGCCTGCTATTTCTACTTAAAATCCAATTCAGTGMTGTGAGATTTCAACAGTATGAAAAAAAAAACCCAGTGCAGCTGGAAGAACTGCCCAGGGCAAGCAGCAGGACACAGGAAGACTGTAGGTTTGAACAGCCTTTTGAAAGATCCCTCAAATCTGTGTTTTGCTGATCTGTTCACAGGAACTGCATCTACTATGCTGACTTGTCATGGGTAAGGGGGTTTTGTGGTTTTGTCAGCACAACTGGCAGAGCACCACAGCAGCAAACACAAGCCTCTCACAACYTTTTCTGTCAAGCAACAGAATTAGCAATTTTTCCCCAAATTTATTTTAAAATAAACCCACACAACTGCCCATAGATTCTTGCTGACTGTTTCCCTCACTTTCCACAGCAGCAAGAGCAATAGCAGATTTATGAGTAGTGTTGGTGTAGTTTATCTTCCTTTCCCCACATCTGGCTGAACCACTTGCATCCTCCATATCAAAAACATGCCACTTCCCTCTTATCCTCTTGGATAGTGGAGASTGATTCCTGCTTAGCAAAAACATCCAGTGTGCTCAAAATTTGTAATTCAGAGTAGCTAGAAGTAATCTAAATACTCTGAGAACTAAGCTGCATTTAGTTAGACATCCTGCAGGGAGTTACGTGGTGAACAGAGAAGCATCTAATTTTACAAGCGGTTTTGAGGGCACATAGAGACCCTTCTTATACCCAAGAGGAACAACAAGCCCCAGGCCACTACCAGAGGGTGCTTTGTTTATGGCAGACACAGAGAAGATCCTGTTGGCAGTTTTACCCAGAGACAATCTGCACTGAAACAGGCAGGCCACATCCCTGCTGTGGCTGGGCGAGCCCRTACTGCTGGGGTGAGGCAGCAAACACTTGCAGTAAAATAACCATCATAAACTGTGACAACACAGTGCGTGGCACCCACCCCTTCTGTCCCAGCAGCCAGGGTGGTGCCTGGCTGAAGACAGGAGCACTGCAGCACAGATTGCAGCTGGGCTGGTGGAAACCCAGGGGCTGAATCACTCCAGGCTGCCTCTGACACCTTCACAAAAGCTTCCTGGATCACCGCAGGGGAAAGCACCTGCACTCATCCGGGTGCTGACTCCTCCTTGCCTGCTGAGCAGGACCGCCTAAGATACCCAGAGAAGGTGTGGCAGGTGAGGAGAGACCATTTTCCTCCTCATCCTGTGGGCTAGACATTGGCTCTGTGACTCCTTTCTTACCCAAGCTAAGTAGAAGGTCAGCCTGCAATGGATAAATCCTCTTAAGAAATATCCCAATGTTTACCTCCTATGGCAGAGTGAAAACTTCAGTGCAATAACATTCTCTAATCAGAGAAGTCCAAGATTTGCAGTCCTCACTCAAAAAATGCTGATGGATTTATTGAAACACTTTCTTCCCAGATGCAATTTAAAAAGTATTTGAAGGCCATTAAGATATTAAAATCAATTACTTGCAAACTTTTGTGCATTTCAAATAGAAATAGTCCTATCCCAATTTCACTCAAATCCCTTGCATTTCACAGTAATGTGCTGTGAAATACAGACCAGAAGTTTTGTTCATACACTCTTTGTACAGAAGGACTGATCTGCAACTGTAAGTTGATTTGTCATACTTTGTCCTTTGTACCTGACACACAACAGGTTCATCTCCCAGTCTACGAACCAACCAAACAATTAAACAACTTTGCCTATAAACAAGTGTCTAAATCCTTCCCTACCTGAGGAAACGCTGGCACATGGTTAAATCATAGGATTCTCATCATTGCTGGGATACTTCCTTTATCATAAGCTGCTTTATTAAAAAAGGACAAAGTCCAGTGCTTGTCTATAGACTTTGGATTTAGATTCAGCATGAATTCCAGCTTCCTCTCTTCTTACGTAACAAAACCAAAACTCTAGTCCATATCACAGGAAAGGCTGTCCTTTCTGTCTGGGCACTCTCGAAACCAGAGGCAATTCACCCACACAGAAATGACCCTGCCAATCTCCTGTTTTGAAGGATCCTACAGCACAACAAAGTCCTTAGTTCCCATCAGCCAATGAATCCTGTGCAACTAAAAGATCAGCTGCTAACAAAAGGCAGAAGAACATCACTCATGGACTGCAGCACCTGAACTGCTGCCCTTACTTGGGGTCAGACACTGGGGGATGCACCCTGTGATCCTCAGTGCTTCAGTGAGCTGAGCAACCTAGTGAACTTGTAGGCACTGTGTCTTTTAAAGCATGCTGGGAGAAGGGAATATCAGCTTATGTACACACTGCAGATAGGGTGGTTAGTGGCTAAACTTGAATTAAAAGCCACCTTGAATTAAAAGCACACTCACATTCAAGAGGAGAAACTGCATCTGGACCTTGGATCTAAACAGGGTTTGGATGACTCAGATTAGCACTGCTGTAAAGATAAGTGGTAAATATACTTCATCATATTTCGTTATGTTTCCTGCGAGTCGGGGCAATCCCAAGCACAAATACAGGCTGTTGGRGAATAGAAAGTAGCCCTGAGGAGAAGGACTTGGGSTGTGRGTTGATGAGAGGCTCAACATGACCCAGCAATGTGCTCTCACAGCCCAGAAAGCCAATTGTGACTTGGGCTGCACCACAACCAGTGTGGGGAGGGGATTATCTCCCTCCACTCTGCTCTCCTGAGACCCCACCTGCAGTGATGTGTTCAGCTCTGAGGGGGCCAAATACCAGAAAGAACAAGCCCAGAGGAGCTTGACCACAAGGATGGTCAGAGGCTGGAGCAGCTCTCCTATGAAGACASTCCGAGAAGGCTGGGGCTGCTCAGCCTGGAGAAGAGTAAGCTCCAGGGAGACCTTAGAGCACTTTCCAGTAACAAAAGGAGGCCTATAGGAAAGCTGGAGAGGCTTTTTTCACAAGGGCATGTAGGGATAGGACAAAGAGCAATGATTTAGATTAGTAATACGGAAGAAATTCCTCATCATGAGAGTGGGGAGGCACTGGCACAGGTTGCCCAGAGAAGTTACCCAACCCCTGCAAGTGCTCAAAGCCAGGTTGGATGGGACTTTGAGCAGCCTGGTCTAGTGGAAGRTGCCCCTGCTCTTGGCAGCAGGGTTGTAACACGATGATCTGTAAGATGTCTTCCAACCCAACCCATTCTAAGGTTCTGTGATCAGTAAGATCTCTTTCAACACCCTGTTTCGGTCAGAATACAGTCCACAAGTTTCAGTCTGATCTTTGGTGTGAAATATGCTAACTTACTTTCTTCAGCTTCTGCTAATATGTATGAACACACCTGGGTGAGGGAACTTCCCCGGTCTGAAGCACTCGAAACTACAATGGAAGAAAGAAAAACACTTCAACTTCTTTGCTATGCTAGGATTGCAAGCATCATGTTTTACTCTCCCTTAAATGCAAATGACTGCAGTAAGCCCTATTTTCCAGTGCAGTGAAAGCCTCCACAGCTCCTACAGAACTCAAGCTGGACTGTGGAGGCTTGAATACACAATGTCCCACCTTCAGGGCCCAGAATTCAAGTTCCTCTGTCTACCAAGGCTAYAGCATTATTGCTCCTTCACAGATTCCTCAAAAAGACCATCTGAATTCACAGATCATCTTTTTCTTTCCTGTGAGTAATTATTTAATCTTGTATTGCTGTTTCCACAGGCATTTAAATCCTTGCAGGGAAACAGAGCCCCAAAGGATCCCATATGGAAGCACCATGATGGTGTGTAGTGGCATCGCTTCTGGACAACACTGGCTGACAAAACAACAACATTCCCTATACAGAGAAGGTTTTCAAAGCAGCACATAGGAACAACTGTGCCTCCTTTCAGTTAAAATTGCAGTGGTGTGACCAACCTTCCCCCACTTCTTGGAGACAATCAACGCATTAATTCAGCCAATATTGCCAGACACTGGGCTTCAGCAAGGACCCAGACATSTGGAGAACTTTTACAGTAAGGAGTGAGGGCCAGAAGACAAGTCAGCTTCCCTGTTGTGCACGAAGCAGACAGCAATGCAGCGGTGGAAAAGGGAGTGGACAAACTCGCCCTACCAAAAGCAGTTGCACAGTGAATCTTTGCATGAAGGCTGGCTGGGAAGACAAGTACAGTCAACAGTGAGCGAGATCTGTAAACAAGACACTCCCCAGTGGTATTCAACACAGAGTGCTGGGCACAGTTCATCTGCCTGTACTGATCCATGCTTGCCACGTAGCGCCAAGAGTGAAAAATGAAAACGGAGYACGTGTGTTGGCTTCCCTCTGGGTCTGTTAGTGGTGTGCTTCTTGAGCCATTCCCTCCTCTTCCTCCTCCTCCTCCTCTCTGATGCTCAGCAACTGTGACTGTCCCTCAGGGCAGCAATGCTCAGCATGAAGTTCAAAGTCCTTCCTATTAAATGGGAAGAGTAAGACTGATGTGGCCTGAACTACCCAGGAGACAACTGTACCTGGGGATTAAGGGCCACACAACTGTGTCAATCTTCCACTCCCTCTCCACTCTGCTAAAAATAGTCTCTTCTTCTGGTTTCGTCACTGATGAAGGAYGGATTGTATTGTCCAGGGTAGATGCATGAATGTCGAGATCCAGGCAAACCAGTGTAGGGAGGATAAAGTCCATTTCTTTCCAGTTCAGGATTTCTCAGTCCAGTTGGCTGTATTAGCAAAAAAATTAAATAAAAAGGGTCTTATTGTCACACTCAAATCCTCCTTCAGGCACAGTCTTACCACCTTTCCWAGCAGTTATTTCAGTAGCTAGAAGGAACAGCATGATCGCTAATGATTTCTATAACCTAGAATGACTTTTCTGTATTGCCTGAAGGGATTATTATGATGAAATCTAATTTCAACATCTGACCAACGAACAGACTTGAAGTTTACCTGACTAATCTACCAAGTGTGGTCTAAGTACGCAGTTAATTTTTAATTAAAAAATGATCTACTGAAGAGCTCAGGTATTGAAACAACTTTCACAAAAAGGATATTCTCCCAGATCCATCCCTAAGAAATACTTCTAGAAAAATCAAAGTTACTGTCCTGCTTTGAAGAGTCTTCTGCTAATGTGCAATCATTTCACCCAGTGAATAACATAAAGCCACTTGGTTTGTCCTGGTACAGAGCAGATCCCTGCCAAGCCCTCATCACCTACTGCTTGCTAAAATGTTTCCCTTTCTAGTTCCTAGCATCWTAAGTCTCCTAAAAAATTTGGAACTGCATTTTCATTTTCAAATATCTCSAATATTTCAAATTCTTAGCGGAAGCATGAAGGAAGATTATTTGCCTCCATGCTGTAAAACCCAGTAAATTTGCTTACTGGAAAACTTAAAAGACAAGCCAGAAAAATAGTCATGCTCCCTGTTCTCTGCTCTGGAAAGCATGGAGCCCAGAATGTGTGACTTGGGTGAAATTCTGTAACCTTCACTCACATGAATAACTCATGCAAATCTTAAGTACATGTTGCTGAAGATAAGTGACAGATAATAGAGCAGAACCACAGCTCTGGATACCATCAGATTGTACCAACCATGACATAAAGTCTTTTTTCTTTCTGTGCCCTACACAGCCTGTTACTCCTTATTCCCTCAGAGGTGAAGGGATGTTCCTTATGCACCCTGGAGAGGGAAGGAATGGAGGAAAAGAGGGGTCCTCAGTGACCAGTATCTTCCTAGTTTGGGGGGAAGTTCCCCAGACAGAGATTTCAACCTTCCTCTTCATCAGTGAGGGTGGATAGGAGAAAACTACCTACAGGGYACCCTAGCAGTTTGTCCAAAACCTTAAACTGTTCTTCTCTACTCTAGGATTGGGCTTTTGGAGCATTTTTACCAAAATATTCCTAAACACTTCCTAAGCATTTTTCCTAATGTCATCTCTTTTGATATTCACCACGGGTGAATAGCTGGAGCCCGTAGGACTCCTGATGCCTTGCTGTCTATGGAAGACATTTGCTTTTTATYTTGCAGGAAAGGGATCTGCACTTCCAAAACTAAAGGAATATCTCTTTCCTGTATAGGGCACAAAGAGTTGAAAGTCAAGCTATGATTAGGTACCGAATAATAGACATCTGTCATCTGCAACAGGTTCTTGGTGCTTCCGTTCTCCTGCATCTCGATGGTCTCTCTGCCCCAYTCCTGTGCTCGGGGATTCTTCGGATATTCAGCATAAGGTGACATCTGGAAATCYCCACTCTTGAAAATCAGTTTACTTATGTCATTTTTATTCTTCCTGTTTATAAAAGAATGAGGGAAAGTGAAAACATTTAATTTATCCTGCTATCCTGTATACACTTCTGACATGATCTCAAGAGAGACCATTACTCGATGTTATGAATCTTGATGGGGAACAAAGATCACCTCAGATGGACTATAGCTCAATCTTCTGATTTCATATCTGACTTGGCTTCAGAGCAGATCACACAACTCAGGGCATAATCTGGTGGAATTTGAAATCTCCAAAGACAGGGATAGCAACCTCCCTGAGCAACCTACTCCACTGACTTACTGTCCTCTCGGTGAAAGCATTTTTCCCTACATTCAGTTTGAACCCCTCCTGTTCCAACTTGCTCCAGCTATGCCCCTTTTTGCTTAAAAACATGTGTGTTCATCTAAGTAAATGAAAAAATCATGGAAATTGAGGGAGAAAAAAGTATAGGAGCCCCCATGCTAATAATCACAGCACTTGTAGGCATTATGTTAATCCCTAAGAAGGAAGAGCTGCAAGGAGCTGGCCTGAGTGACACCAAATGTCCCTCCAGGACTATAATGTTGTATGAGTGGATTTTGGTGACACTTCAGTTCAAAGCACAGCATCCTCCAGGAAGTCACACAAGCTGCCAAAGGCCAGGACTCATGAGAACATCAGTGAATCCCTGTGGAGATCTGCAGTCTGGGGCCTGGGGTTGTACTGGCCACCTCATCTCCTGGCTGGGCTTTGGTGGGGTCCCCCTGGCTCAAAACATGGGGGAACAGGGGCACAGCACTGTACCTGCCATACTACTGCCATATATTTTTGATAAATCCAGTTGCCAGCTTTATCAGAGAGCTTTGAAATCCTAGATTTGGGGACTGGAATGGTGGGAAAGGGTATAACTGCTAGGCATCTCTTTTCAGGCTACATAAATCACAAAACAGCTTCCTTGGCAAGGACATTTTGCCTCCAGTCCAAAGCCACCTGCTGGCACACACTAGGGATGTGTGTGTGTGAGAGAGGGAGAGACACACTGAGTGAGAGCACATGTAGGACTTGTCCATAATGGAAATGAAAACGGCCTTAAATACCCTCAAACAGCACTTGTGCAATGGCAAGTAACCTATCCCTAAACTTCTGCCTGAACTTCTCCTTTCAACTTAGCTTGCACTTTTGGAGTCTGCTTCCTGGCTTCAGAGCCTTACAGCTCTGCATGGGAAGGACTCCTCTGCCCCTCCATCCTTAGAGGACATGACTTCCAGGTGTACCATTAAGAGACACCCAGTGCAGTTGTTTAGCCCAACTGCTGGGAAAAAAAAAAGTCCCAAATGAAAGCACAGTGTGATACTTCAGTACCTCTGATTAACCCACTTGTTTATGTTTTCACCTATGTTTTGATCCTTAGTTATYCTGTGTTTTCACCTATGTTTTGGTCGTTCAGAGCTCCACTGGGAGGATGAGCCAGGCCTGGCAGCGGTACCTACCGGAAGCAGGTGACAATCAGTGCAATGCCCATGATCAGCAGCAGTCCCCCTCCTGCAGCAGCAATCACCACCGTGATGAGCTGATACGCTGCAGACGGGAGAGACAGAGACTCAGAAACAGTGCTGTGCTTTTAAACCCCAGTGTCAACATTCCTACAGTCCCAGTGCAAAGAGATTAACTTCCCACCTTCCCTCCTCTGTGAGTAATATAGCCTTAAATGTTCAAGTGAAACGGAAACAAGTTCTTGTTTCCCTAAGGAATAGATTCCCATCACTGATAGATCAGAATAATTCAAATGGTATTTCATGGATTCACCTTCAAATGTTYTGCTTAAAGAGTGCCCACTATATGTGCTATCCTGACAGAGTATCCAGGGAAAGGAGATCTCCTTTCCTTGGGAGACAGCATTAAGTTAACGGCAAGTCATTTGTCAAAGAAGCTCCACAAAATGACTTTCAACAGAAAACGAAGAAACAAAAAACACTGACGGAAGTAGCATGTACCTACTGCATTTTAGACACAATCACTTGCAATTACTTGTTTCAAATCTCCCATTTCTGACACTGTAGAAAATAAAAGAAACAAAATTTGGTACTCACGGTTTCCACAGTTGAATCCACCCAAGCCAAAGGGGCAGCTGGGAAAAGAGAACAACAGGAGTTTCAGTGGCTCAGTTGTGCCGACAGATCACCAGAGCAAGGATGGTGGGGTAGGAGGAGGGCAGAACAGTCACCATACCTCACACAAGTCTCGTTTTCCAGTTTATATCCATCTTCACAGGCTAAAATCAGAGAGAAGGGCCGTGAGCACCGCGTAGTGGAGCCGGGAGGGATTTCCCACCGCTGCTTCCCAGGGCAGCCTCACCTCCAACCACCCCGGGCAGAGCGCACTGCGGGAACGCCGCGCACTTCCATGGGATGATGGCAGGAGTCCTCTGGTTTAGGCAAAACATCCTGCACTAAATTCACCTCCCTCTGGCTGTGATGGAACCATTTCAGGGTTTCCAGGCAGAGCCTGCCTGGAGCCTGGCAGAGGCTGGGCTGMTGGTAATGTAATTCCCAGCAGAGCCTCTTTTTGCCCAAATGAAAACTCACTGCACACTTGTACTGCTTCCCACCAAACAGCAATGTAAAAAATATGCAAGTGCCTCCAGTTTTTGTTTTGAAACCCCATTTGAATCATACTACTTTAGCATTGGTGTATGTTATTAATTACTTTTAAATGTTAGCACTGCAAGAAGATGTTATACAAACACAGTCAGAGTGACCCAGAGCGGAACGCTGGTTTTTTTCTCATGTCACCTTCTTTTCTGATCTTTCAAATTTGCAGCTAAATCATATTTTAACATATCATACTTTACTATACAATGGAAATTGAATTTATTAGGTCTAAATAATCCAGAGAGTTGCTATGTGCAAAATATGTGCTGGTGAAAAACGAAAACCATCACTTCAAAATTAAATAACTTCCATGCTTATGGACAGCTGTCCTAAACTATCTGAGGAAGTTATACCACCCTTATGATGAACAGCAAAGGGGATGATACATTGGACAACAATTGCACTGCAGAGGCAGCAAAGGTGGTCACCCAAAGACCTGGGCAGGAGTGACACAGAGTCGCTTGGGACAGCGGGACAAGCCAGGGCCAGCACAGGCAGTAACCCTTGGGRTCTGCAAGACATCACCCGAGGGTCTGGGAAACCCCTGTAGCACATTCCACAGGGAATTGTTAAGTGAAAAAAAAAAATGCTCATGGATTTTTCCCCTTCAAACACTATGCGCTTAAAACTGTCACAGAAYTTCCCTAAATTTAATTCCAGTTTCAAATCAAATAGCTGGACTGGAGCTAAGTTTTAAAGAAACACCCAAGACTGATTTAAATATTTTTAGTGACAGACAATCAACCACAGCCCTGGGTCAGATGCACACAAAGTTAATTTTCCTTAGCCATCAAAAACATTCACCTTCTTTCTGGTCTGAATTACCCCAGTGTCAAATTCCAGACTTTGAATGTTTACTTATTAGATTGGAAAAGGTTATATGATCAGATTTCTAYTCCTCACCACCAAACCATTCCTTTATCTTTAATAAAGCCAAGGCCACTGAAATCTTCGAGTCTCCCTAATTATTGCAGCTTTTCTCTGAATGCTCTCAGGTTCCCTTTGACCCTYTTGATTTTTTCCCAGAAATAGATGTTGCAAGCACAGGGATAACAAAATTTCCCATCTTCTGCCTGCCTCGCATCCTCAGGATGTGTGGACAMAGAAGAGAGATGTCCTCACATCACAAATATTGCAGACACAGACTCGCTGTAGCAACTGGCCCCCACGATGCAAGGCATGCACACCTTGAGCAGATTCAAATCTGGAGCTGTGCCACGGGCAGGAGCAGCCTTGGGACCTCACTGGCACACAGCTCTCAGGTCACGAGGATATAGAGGCAGTAAAGAGGAAAAGCAAGATCCTGAATATGCATTTCTCTGTCTTACTTAGAAACTTGGTGCTTATGTGTTTTCCTCTCCTGACTGTGTCTTTTCCTGCCACTTTGCTTTCTCCTTTGGCATCTTTCCTGCTCTTTTGAACATGCTCCCAGGAGAGCTCTCACTGTCACACTCACTTGGCAAGATTTCAAACACAAGCAGGGAACAGAGGAAGGGCCTAAGTGTCAGGGGCCAAGCAAAGCTATCAAGTTATGCTCTTCAACCTAGGATTCCTTTGCTTTCCAAAAAGACACTCAGGGGTCTCTTTGGAAAACTGCTTTGCTGCTGGCTGCTTCATTCCAGTACTAGTAAAAATAGCATGCCCTTGAAAAGCTGGCACATCRGGTTTGCTGCTCTGTTACTGAAATAGCCCTGAAGATACTGAGAAGATTGAAAATCAACAGMGACCCAGAGACACTGAACAGCACAGCAAGAGGTACCACAGCCAACATGTTGGAACTCCTGTGGCTCAGAGAGAGAGAGAGAGAGACAGCCCTTCCTTGGTCCATGGGAAGCTTTTTCAAGCACAGCCCTGAGCACAGATGCTGCAAGGAGRACAGAACAAACCCTGTGGGTCAGGGCAGCTGATTCTCCCAGCCTTCCCACGGGGGAGACCGGACAGGGCAGCACAATAGCCATTTCCCTCTTTGCAAATACTATAATTGGAGCTACTACACTGCATTTTCACAGCCCACAATGAGGGTCGGACGCTCACGAAACCTCAGTTCCTGTTTAGGCACCAAAAGGGCAGAGACTTTCAAAGTGGCTGGAATATTGTATGCTATATTTATCAGCAAAATAGCCCTAAATATCAAATGGGGGCCAGAGCTTGGCTTTTGAAAAAGCCTTTAAAAATCCCAACCACCCCATAACCATTATCACACAAGTGATAATGAAAATCAGTGCTGCCCTCACGCCTCTGCACTACAGCCTAAAGGCCACATCAGCCCTGTCCCTCAGAACCTCTCACTCTGATTAATAAGGTGTTTCCAACTGATAGCAGTGAGATGGAGGTGGAATTGATGCCTCACTGTTTACAGATAAGGTTTTATATTTTCTACAGCGAACAAGTTTCATAAGTAGGGAGTAATCACATGTACAAGATCTCAGAACTCTTAGCTCTCTACCACGATCACATCCAAGTGCCTCACCACCCTTCAGGTATTTATCTTCGGTGCTTGGCAAGAGATAACAGAACAAGACAAATGGAATAACCTTCCCTGGGTCCCCACTGTCCATGATGGAACAAAAATTGGGTAAAAGCCTCCCAAGTTTCAGCTCAGCTCCTCACTCATTACATAAGTCCCTCTGACTATGCAGGGCTGGTGGAGATGYTCAGTGTTTCCCAAAAGAAACCCTTCCTCCAACATACAAGATGAGGGGAAGGGAGRAAAACACAAAGGGAAAGGTTTTGACACAGGGAAAGGAGCCACAGAGTGAAGGAGAGGCAGGACCATGACCTGGGATGCAGAGATGCCCATCTCTGAGCTGTCCCTCCCAGARTCTGCAGCACATGAGTTATTTCCAKGCACATTTTTCTCACTCTCAGATTTGGAACGGAAAAAGCATCTCCTCCCATTTCAAGAGCAGCCCAGCAGGCAGTGCCAGAAGCAATATATAACCACTASTGCCATTGTTACTGATATGTCATCAGAAAACTGCATTTCTCAAGAAGCCCTACAGCMACCACTGAAACTAGGGAATGGACAGCCTGATCCTACAGAAGTCACTTTGAACACTGGCATGCAAACACTTTCTTTAAAATGCGGCAAAAACAGATTTGTTGATCTGAGAAATAGCTAAGAAAATAATATGACTTTTCAGCTTAAAATTTCAATTTGATGCCTAGCTGAAAAATAAATCCATAATCATTTTCAGATAKAAATTTTAAAAATACTGATGATATATTAATATAAGCTTGTGAGTTTAAAGCACTTCCCCTAAGTTCACTGAGAGTTCAGACAAAATCAAAACAGGCAGAGACACACGTCATCTCTGCTCTGTGCCACTGAACTGGAGCCCAAAGCAGCCAGGCCCCTTTCTCCCTCTCCTCAATCACTGTGACTCACAGCATGCTCCAGAAAGAGATAATATTATTCCTAGAGAGAGACTGTATCTTCAGTGTCTGCTGAAAAGCCCCCTAATTAAATAAAAGAAACTTGAGCTGCTAATATTTATTCATAATATTGAGCTTTTCACATGCACAGCACTACATACGCACACTCATTTCCACTGGGAAAAAAACTTTAAGGAAAATCCAGGCAAAACACACCACATAAAGAGCAATACCTCTGCAGGAGTGGTCCATCTTGTTGTATTTGAAGTACCCACTTTTGCACTGGCAGAGAGCTACTCCGTCAAAGTCGGTGCATTCYGAAGTTTCCTTGTCGCATTCAGGGTCTTTCAGTCTGCACAAGCTGCCCACTGTTGAGAAGAGACAGCCAACATCAGTGTGAGCATCTCCCAACCCCCCTTTATGCACATTTGCTCTCTCTGGGCATCCCATTCAGCTGATGTGCTGCTTTAATCTCTTTTTTTTTATAGCAATATTTGTTCCATTAGTATAAAGTCAACATTACCCTATGTCACMATTTCTTGTGTAACTACCATCATTTGTACAGGCAAATACAGGGGTTGAATAATAAATGTTTCAGTTCGGAAGCAGAAGGGGGGAAATGAAAAAGAAAAATTTGGTTTGGCTCCAGCTCAAACACATTCATCCTCTGACACRGTCCAACAAATCAATTTTTAAGTTTATATCAAATGAAACATTTTGCTTAGACCAAACCAATTCTTTTCCATTTCAGTATTAAGCACAAGATTTTTTCATTTTTCAAACAAAAAAAWTTGTCCTTTCATTTACATTACTTTGAAGCAGTGTTTTACTTTAGAAAGCCAGACTTGTTACAATGAGCATTCAGCAAAACTGTGGATGAATTATGGAAATTGTGTCATCAAATTTACATTTTTTACTGGGAGGTCAGACTAAATGGAATGAATAAACATTTGTGAGAAATAGGTTTTTATGGAAAATATGTCACTCGTTTGGCACTCTCCTTTTATAAACCTCTCCTTGCTAGATCAATTTTTTTTTTTTTTAAATCTGACGTCTTCTCTTTTAGGTACTTACACAAGAACAATTTGTTTCTTATTCTCCTTATTTCAAGTTAGAAGTAGGCTTTACAGAAGCATTTTATCAGAGGTAATGGGTAGGTATAATATGGGCTGATTTACCCAAATAATTCAAAGTGATCCATGGGAAGAGTGTGGCTTTAAAACAGAGCACATTGCAATCAAAGCACACACTGACCTTCTCATCTGCATGTTTACTTTGCCAAAATCAGGTTGGGGGTTTCCTACTAAACCAGGGCTAAGTGTTGCCACCCTTCATCYTCCTCAAGGCCAAACCTCAAAGCCTTGAACCCAAAAGTCACAAAACTCTGCAAGCAGCAGTTTTCTTGCAGGAAATTCTTTCAAGGGTGCTCATTCCATGCATCCTGAGGTACCTCTCACAGCTGAATCTCCTCCATCGATCCCTTAAGAAACAAGAACTGGGAGATTCCAGGGCACAGCACTGGTGTCCTTCCCCCACCTTCATGTGCCATATCCACATTCCCCTTTAGCAGATACAGGATTCAGTACAGAAATCAGAAAACTGTGAACAATTTAACAACCTGCAGCACTGAAACTAGGCAGAGAGAAGAGCAGAGCTCGCCACACAGCCTCCAGCAGCTCTAATCGAGTTCACTGGCGGGGTTTTGTCTCTTGGCTTTCACACCCTTTCCCTGGCTCCCAGCCGTGTGTGTGGAATTAAGAGTTATGGTTTTTTGATCTGGCTGGGCCCAGTGTCACATCCCAGAGATGAAAGGCTGCCCTATAATGCCTCTAATCCTGTACTGTGCAATATTTTCTCAGTGAGGCAGATTTCTCACACATGTGGTAAAGATAAGGCTCRGTATCTGCATCCCTTTTGTACCGTGAGGTTCTTAAGATGACTCCCATTTAAGTAAGATAAAAAGATTCAGAGGGATTTTTCCAAATAGCAAATCTTTCTTCCCCTGTTACAAAAGAAGCCAAATAAAACATCCCTTTCCCCTCCTGTCACAGTCCCTCCAGATGCTGTTTACCTCTGTGGAGTGGYTTCAGGCTGGAGATGAACTGGCAGGCTTCAGTGGGGGATTTGCAAGCTCGAATGTAGCTTTTCACGCTGCTGATAACATCGTATAAGGTCACGTTGGATGCTAAAGAGAACGTGGATTGCACTGAAACATGCACAAAATTTGCCTCCCTAACAAAAAACAAAACAAAACAGCCCTGAGTGTCACGGGTCAGTCTGATGTGATCATTAGCACCTTACACACAGGACTGCTCTAACAGCAGCGATGCTCATCACAGACACAGCATTACACACACACTGGGCTCTGTAGCAGACCTTAAAAACAAGACTAACATACACACAGAGAGGAAAACACAGATGGGATACTGATGGCTCACTTTGGAACCAGCCATCCATCCCTCCTGGGCAGCTCCCAAGCCCATCCCCAGGCTGCTCAGGTCAGGAGGAGAGTACCAGGTGAGCCAGGCAAGCTGGTCAGGCATCATTCCTCATGCTCTGTACCACTGCCAGGTCAGATTTTAGCCCAGCACCAACTGGAAATGGAGAATGTGGATCTCAAGTCAAAGGTCCCCAATGCTCAAGTTTCTCATTTTTCCTCAGCCTCAGCCTTACCTGCTTGCCTTGACTGTGGAGTGGTGGTACCCTGGCAAGGCTGACAGCGATGCATTGAGCTGCAAGGAAGGAGAGAGCAGCTGTTAGTGCCCCAGGGGGTGATGGAGGGAGGCAGTCCCATGGGATGTAGCATGGAATAGCCCTGCTGGCTCATTGACACCACCCTGTGCCTTCCAGAGATGCCTGCTGAGACCAAGAGGGCTCTTGGGTTCATCTGCTCTACAARAGAGGTGCACTGCCCTGCTGCCAGKRAGGGGTGAGCAAAGTCACCAYTGCACAGCCTCGGAYAAGAACAAAGACCTGGGGATTTTGACATGAGGCTGTGTCCACACTGTGTAATGGCCACAAAGGTCAGGGTGAGCCAGATGCCAGCAGGGAGAGAGCCCGGTACAAGGCCGACCTCAAAGCAGCGCCCTTGGAGACTGCAGATGTCCCAAGGAGCCTCCCAAACCCTGGATCTGTGCAGTTGTTTGTGTTTACTCCCCAGCACAAGTTGTGCAGGCAGCACCAGCAACTGCCCCCAGCAYCCCCCTCCTTTGGCAGCATCTCCCAATCACCTTCTCCAAAGAGTCAGAATGAAGTGCAGCCAGACCAGGAACCCCTAACAGGACACGCAGTGATCTGGATAAAAACTGCACTGAGATGTCCCTAACCCCAGCCCATGGGTCTTTGTGGATCAATTGATGGCACAGCCCATGGGGAAGGCAACAGCCAATCCAGCGCTGGCTCTCAGCTCACCAAGAGCCACATGGCTACAGCTGTAGGGCTGGGAAACATTACAGTCATAAAAGGAGTGAAGAYTTGTCTCATCAGCATGGCCAAAGTCAAAGCAAGAGCACTCACCATCTCCAGGATCTCCCTCTCAATGTGGAAGAGCTCTGTGTACTTCCCGTGGGTGATATTTAATTTCAGGGGTACCTGGCCAATAAATATTCTCACTAAAAAGGARAATAAGACAAGTGAGTTGGAACCCATCTCTATGCCACGTGTAGATGTGGTTTCACCTGTCTTACATGAGAGACTGTTTGCATGGAAAATCCCTTTGCGAGRCACACTGAAAACTCACTTCTGAGAGTCACTGCCCCAGTAAAACAAAGTTGGGTTTTTTCCCAAGGGTTGCTGCAATGTTCCCACAGTCCCAGTCAAATTCCAGAGCTCAGTGCTGCTGAGAACAGACAGCATTTCACTTCAGTGTTCTAACATTTCATATAGAAACACAGACTAACTTAAATAGACCCCTGAACACAGAGAGAGATGGGTAAATTTAGTAATAAGACAGTGTCAGGTACCRAAGTTATTTATGATAATTTGGGATAAACATGTCAAATCTCTTAGTCCTCCCTGCAATGGAAGGAAATCAAATCAGCAAGTCAAAATAAAGCACTGTAGAGAGGACATTTTCATTTCTCAAACTGCTGGAGAGAATGAGCAATGGCATTTGAAAAGAGATCCAAAAGATGCATTTTTCTGTGCTTAGATTCATATTTGATTCACAGCAGCAGAATGCAATAATCTGAGTTGTCCAGACTTGCAGAGATAATACCCCTAAATCTTGTATTAAGTGTCATGAGATACTCAGTGGAAATTAGAAATCAGAGCTCCAGCTCTATGTTCCACCAGAAAAACAAATACAGTTGCAGATAACATTATAAAGACTCCAATTCTTTCCCATTTTTTTCCCATCCACTGAGCCTATCTTCACCACAAATTGTACATCAGACTGCTCTAATGTACCAACTCCAGACAAAAATCATGATGAGAATCACCTTCACAGTATTTATATAAACTGCCCGTACCCCAGTTCAAGGCATAATCAAAACAAGTCTCTAAATTAGGAGCTGACACATTCCAACTTGAAGAAATGTTTCAAAACACTCTTCAGGGACACCTCACCCGTGTTTCCTTAGCAAAATTTCCATGCCTCTAATCCTCGTTGATTAAGGGTCAGAAGGAAACCTATGAAAACAAATTCCCCTTTACAATGGGATATTGTGAGTCCTTGAGACTGGGAGTYCTCTAACAGAAAACAAGGGGTCAGAACCTGAGTTACAACTAATAACTGTGCTGCTCAAAAAATGCTAAAGGTATGAAACAAGACCTTGATCTTACAAAGACTTTCACGGCTGTTTAATTTTCCACACATGGCTGATCCCACTGAAGCCAGGTTGCACAATGGCCCCACTCACTGCTCCCAAACCAAGCGCCATCACCAGAGCTTGCAGGGCTGATAAGCTGCCGAATGCTTTTTGGGACTTGTAAAACACATCAGGAGCAGAAGGGGCACATCTGTCATTACTAACAAGCCTAAGCCCACCACTCACTGCTGCTTTTTTAGGAACAGACATCTCTCCCCAGGCAGCCCAACATGACAGGCATTAGACACCACACTTGTATAAACACTAAAAGGCTCCGATAAAAGTGGTGGTTGGGAGGAACATTAAGCTCCTGAACTAGTTTGAGTCTAAGTCAATTTATTTTAGAAGATTAAAGATAATTATTTCCATCCCTGGTTTTCAATTTCTGTTTTCTTACCTAAATTGCACTTTCCTTTTTCCAGCTCGTATCCAAGAGGACACTGACAGATATAGGAGCCATGGGTGTTGTTGCAGGTGGCCAGTGCAGGACAAGGGTTGGAAAGACATTTATCCACATCTATAAAAGTGGGGGAAAAAAACAGGTTATAGTTACAGAATCATAAAAATCATCARCTGGTGAGCTAAAAGAGATCAATTYGGCTGCCCTTCTGTGACTCCTTAGCATTATCAGATGCTTCACTGCATCATTTGCAATCTCATACCTGCACCAGCCTGGCACAGCCACCTCAGCATCAGCGAGAAGGAGGTTTGGTGACTGTAATCTGAGCAGCCAGAAATGAGTGGCTGTGATTTAAAACCATGGTTTTTACTGTGCCATCCTTCAATTTGTGCTTTGTACAGCAGAGACCAGGACAGCTGCTTCTCTCAGGGCCCGTGTATAAAGCACCATATTCAAGACRGCAGCAGATTTTTTAGAATTCTGGTAAAAGGCACATCTTAGTTTTCAAAGGAAAGAGTAATTTGGCAAAAGTGTGAATCARTTGCTAAAAAGGATGTGTTATCTTAATCTTTCAATTAAAAAATAATTCATTCCAGTAAGGGATTTTTTTTTTTTTTGCATGAAGCTACAGCTATAATTAAAACCAATCAGCCTGAGTAGTAACCTTTAAATACTTAATTATTGGATGGAATATATGTTATTGCCAGCATTTCACTGAGATTAACACCTTTAGAACACACAATATCCCACAGTGGCACCATGGCTGGGCTCTGAACTTCAAACACACAGTCAATTTCCTTTCATATAAGACTTCAGCAAATGTATTTACTTGAGAAGATAAGGAGACTRGCAGTGGCAATAAATTACTACAACAACACTCTCAGCAAGACTGTGTGGATAGCCTACCAGGAGAAACATCAGGCCTCAAAGCAAAAGGTTTTTTAGTGAGATGGGGAGAAAATCATCCTCCATTGCAACAAGAGAAGCAGTTTTAACACAAATGTCAAATGCTGGCCTACTGTACTTTTTCATTAATAAGACCGATAGTGGTCATTATTGATTGCTGTTGTTAACATATMAACAAATATAAAGTGCATCCAATGCTTACCTGCAAAACCAATCAGCTTTATTTTCTCAAAATTGTCAAATTTCAGTTTAATCTTTCTATCATACAAGTTCACCAAAATGCTCACCCTTATTTCAGCCATTCAACTTGATTGCTGAACACTTAACTTAAAAAAATCAACACGGAGACAGAGCTGCTGCCCTCAAACCCTGCTGACAACAGACTTGTCACACTCACAAACATACACAACTCCTTGAAAAYCCTTAAAGTGGGACCCAGGGAGTCCTGCCCTGCTTGCTCCTGGCCCCAACACTGGTGAGAGCCATTGCACACRTTACCTGTGGCTGGAGGTGATGTCCTCAGCCCAGCTGTGGTGCTCGATGGAGGAACAGTGGTTGGTTTGGTTGGTTTGGCTGGTTTGGTAGCAGCYGTAGTAGTCGCAGTGCTCACAGTGGTCTTGGTGGTCGGAGTGGCTTTAGAAGGACTTGTGACMGGGATGTTCTCCTCAGTGACTTTACCAGGCTTTGCAGTGGTGGGATTCATGGCTTCTGTGCTTTTACCAGTGGTATAGCTGTGCTTGGTGGCAGTGGGGGTGTGAGCCCTGTGGTCTTTGACGGTGCTGGTCTCACCCRGGGTGGGCTGGCGAGCGGTCGGTGTGGTCAGCACGGGAGGGYTCACCGTGGTCACTGCCACTGCAGGGACAAAGCTGCTGTGATTTGTTGTACTGGGTGGGGGACTCAGGGGWGCATCTGTTGGAGCAGCCTGTGGAGCAACGCTGGCCGTGGTGAGCAGTGGTGTTGCCTTCCCAAAGCTGTCCCCACGGGTGGTGGCATCTCCAGGTGACGCAGTCTCTGTCACTGTCACGGGAGCRGACACGGACACGACACGGCCACCAAGCAGCTCCATGGGTGCCGTAGGGAGCGGTGACCCTGTGGGGGTGATGGTGGCACCGTTCTGGGGCTGGTGTGTGACATTGTGCTTGCTGGTCTCTCCGGGCGAGCTGCCAGCTGTGGCAGTGGTGGAGGGCTCCCTCCTGACCACCCCTGTGGCCACAGTGGTGCTCGCTTGACCACTGTCACTGGACTGCGAGATGGACGAAGGCGATGAAGACACAGGTAATAAGGATGTTGGTAAGTGAGATGGGGAGGGCAAGGAGGAAGTGGGCAAGGAGGATGGCAAAGCCTGCAGAGGGGGTGAAGATGCCATCACAGAGGACGAGCCCGGCTCGGGTGACTCTGACAGCGTAAACACAAGCGTTGGCGGCGGTGCTGATGACAGCGAGTGCTGCAGTGATGACAGTGAGGAAGAGGCTGGAAATGCTGATGAAGATAGAGGAGATCTGTCAGTGGTCAATAGCTCAGAGTCAGTGTTGAAGAGAGTTGTATTTTCTATGTTGCCTGAGGAAGCAGAAGTCGACAGCTTGGAAGGGTGCACCAGCAGCGGCTCCGTGGATGGTTCAACAAAACTGCTGCTGTTTGATGCATTGGCCTGCCTGTCATGAGCCACAGATGACTTTGATGCATCAAAAGGGCTGGAAATTTCAGAAAARAAGGTGGAACTTTCTGAGGAGTCAGCAGAGGTGCTGCTGTTGGAGATAGACAGGAGGGTCCTTTCTCCTCCTCTGGTATAKGTGGTTGAAATGTATGTGCCATCCGTGTGAGAGACTGAGGTCCTTTTCTCAGCATCGATGCTACTGACTGGCAGATGGCTACCTGAAAAGTCTGGAGTAAAAAGGACAAAAAATATTAAAAAGTCAGAGTAATATCAAAGTATTTTGATGTCATATTAAAACCGCTTGCTAAATAAACAAGATGTTCTTGTCTGAAGACCTGCCCATGCTTTTCYAAAAATTTCAAGCACCATTCAAGYGTGGGKAGGGGGTCAGGAATCTTGTGCACTYCTTAATTGATTCTAAAATGGTGAACCCTGACAGACAGAAGAATCCCATGGAATGTGTAGGTTTCCAAATCACTGTTCTTCACATAYTGCTTTCCTAAAGTGATCAAGCACTTAACATGCCATGGTATTTRTGGCAAGCTAAGCAGGAAAACCCAACTGTTTATCTCTTTATCACTCATAATTTATAAAACTCATATCCTCTCCCTCTTATCCTCCATTCCCATCTGCAGAATGTCTACAGTCAATTTGTTTTTAGACACAGTGAACTTCATGYCTCTGCAGGATGAAATTATTACATTAATTTGCAGCTTATCATGAACCCAGTGATTCAAAACTRTGCAGCCAGGAAATCCTAAATGAATCACACATCAGTCTGCAAAAATTTCACATTATTTAGCATAAAATGTGAGATCAATCTCACAATACAAATTTCAGGATGTACAGCTAAGTTCAGGCATCTTTAAAAAAAATGCCTGATTTCAATACAGGGTATTGAAAATTTGGTTTAATTCTACAACTGACTTAGGTCATCACAAAACTTCCGAAAGCATCACCCGAACGAAACCAGTTAGGATGCAAAAAAAAAGTAATGCAGCCATCAAAACAGGAGAGTTTATGTTCCAGGCTCCACTCCTGGAACAGTTCCACATCTGTGTGGGGTCTGATTTTGAGTCTTTTGATGGAAACATCCCCCCTGAGTGAACCCACAGGTGGTACTGCACATAGTAGTGAATGAGAACTTAACATACAACATACTAAAAATCAGGACAATGTGAATTTCCCCCACATGTGCACAAAAAGACACCAACTCACTTGTGAGATCAGTCTGGAGAGAAGAATAAGTGGGAATCTTGGCAGAACGCACATAGACCGTCTCGGTCACAGGGCCCCTGCTGCCACTGCCGGTGTAGGTGTTGGCTGTCCTGCCCTGCTCYGCTTCAGCACGGGACAAAGAGCTCTCTGTGCCATCTGTCACCGAGGGCAGCATCCTCTCCTCACCTCCAGCAGACGTGGATGAGCTGTACATGGGATYGGTGATGGGGCTGGACATCCTCTCCTCAGCACCTGAGCTGCTCAGGGAGTGATGGCTGCTGCCTATGGCTGGAATGGGATGGAAAAACAGGCACCTGATTTATCATCTCAAAGCAGACAGGACTGCCCAAATACAGGGGAACAATCCATTGGAGCCATAATGGTACATTTATGTTATTTGTAATTACCACCCCAACCCCAAGAGGTGGTCAGTGTGCCCTACAGTGACCAGCTGCATGTCTCAAGAATGAGAATCTCCTTATTAAACACCAGCAGCTGCAGACACACCACTGGGCAGAACCACGACCATTTATAAACGCTGCCCACGGCACTGGCAATGCTCTGACATGTGCTAGAGGCCATATCAATCCCACAGAGGAGGGGAAGGGAGAGACACTCAAACACTGCCCCAGAGTCCAGAAAAACTCACTGGAAGGTTCGCCAGCAGCTGAGAAGGAGGTGAAGACCCTGGATGAAAGGGTGACCTTGGGCTCTGGGGACCCTGCTCGGCTGGATGACACGTGTGTCACTCCAGGCCACGCTGTGGAGGATGGGACAGGGTCAGTGCTGGTGTCCCCAGCCGTGCCTGGGTGAGATGTGAGGCTTCCTCCTTCTGTGCTCCACATGCTGYGGCTGCCTGGGGCTCGAGATGTGCCCTCCTTGTGGATGAAGAGAGTGGCTGATGGCGAAGGCACTGAAACGCTGGGAGAAAACGCAGGCAGCAGCTTTGTAGGACGCTCACTGAGGCCAGCACCGCTCTGTGAAACATGACTATGCTTCCCAGGCTCTGCTGCTGCTGAGGACAGCACAGGGACCGTGCTCAGGGTGCCAGTGTGGGGTGGAGCAGGAGCAGAGCTCCCTGTGGCACTGGAAGCTCCATGGGTGTCCAGCACTGTGCTGCTCTCCTCCCTGGTGGCAGCTGTCACCAAACTGTGTGTACTGGTGAGAGGCAGGCGTTCTCCCATTGCAGAGGTTCTTTCTGCTGAGAAAAGGCAAAGCAAAAAGGATTTATGCATCCTGAGCTATAAAAAGGCAGCCATGCCCTCTTCCATCACCACCCTCAGGCTGACAGCACAGAGAGAATGTAGCAGAAAACCCAAACCTGCAGAAAATGTGACCTGTGAAGGCACAGCCCTCTGGTGTGCCAGGAGGTGCTGCTCACAGCAGGGCACGCTGAAGGGGAACTAGGAAAATGTCATGGGAGCATTTGGGTTTGCACAATGACCAAAGAGACAGCACCCAAATCCCTGGTACTCAAAAAAGCATGGCAGGCTTGCATGGGATCAGTAAATACTGCCTTTGCACCCCAGGGTGGGGGTCAGGAACAACTGGGTCTGCTTCTGCAGGCATAAACACAGCCAACAGGGCAGCCCTGAAACTGTGCTGTCTCTGAAAACACAGCAAATCTCGGGGCCAGGCTGCTCTAGTGCAAAGGCTGGCTTTTCCTGGGGACTAAATACAACAAACGGGTAATTTTTCTCCAGAAACTGAAATTTCCACCCATAATGTCCAATGCTACTATTCAGTACCTTCTAGTATGCCCTCACTCTCCATGCAGGGGGTGTGTGATGCGTGGTCAGGRCTCACCTGGGGAAGCAGATGCTGAGCCTGCGAGCAGTGGGTTCACAGATGACACGGTGGCACCTCTGCCACCACCACCCTGGGCTCCCAAAGAAGACTGGRAATGGCCTGGAGAGCTGATGTTTTGGGTGGTGGAAATCTCTGTAGTTTGGGCCAGCATGGTGCTGCCTGGCAGAGACCTTAACGTCCTCCCTCCACCCTTGGTGCCTGTTGTAGAAACAGAGGTGCTGCTGGCGGGGAAATGTTTTTTTCTCTCTGTTGACAGGATGCTGAATGACACATGGCTGCTTCCAGTAGCTAAAATGTGGTAAAGAAACAATTTACATTTTTTACACATATGAAACTATAAATAAAAATGAGCTTCCTTCCAGTAGCACCCAGAGGCAGCAAGTACACAAACAMAAGTAGAAAATAAAAGATGTCAATTTCCGAAGACTTAAATCCTTCTGACAAAAATTTRYCTTCTAAAAARCATAGTGWGATSCTGAGAAAAGTGYTATTAYATAAAAACTGTTGAAATACTRATGCTGTGCACTTGATTTCACYRTTATGAGCCCAAGTGCACTCCATGCTGCTAGAACAAATATCATAACAATCCCAAAAAGCCAGGAAATCAGTTCAGACAAGGCACTACCCTGTGCAGTGTGAAGGTCTTAGAGAAGTCTGAAGAAATAAAATCAGGGGGATCAGACCCTTTCAGCACCACAGCGGGGACCAGGATCAGACAGCAGCATGTAGGACCTCAGAGACCACATTAAAAGTTGCCTTAAATTCACTGAGCTCGTTCAATTTCTGGGAAGCAGCGTGGTCCAAGAAGTAGGACAGAAGGTAGGAACTGAAGTCTGATCCCTGGTACTGCAGGGACATGATCTAATTCTCACTTGCTTAGTTCTTTCGTGTGTAAAACAGAGACAGCAACTGGAGATAGTAAAAAAATTATTCTGATTTGAAAGTTAATTGTTTTTCTTGGCTTAATGGAACTCTCCACACATGTGCCCTTTCTGTAAAACACCTAAGACACATTTTTTTGGTCAAGCAAGAGCTGAAATATTTCAGGCACCAAATCATACTGTATCCTTCCAACAGTATATTCTGCATAGCAGAAAAGAGTCAGGTGAGTGCAGGCTGCAGGAACAGTCTTCCTTTGGCTTGTAAGAAAAATCCTATTTCAATTCTAATGTGAGCTCACCTGGCGAAGGATCTTCCCAAGGAGAATGAGAGTGTGTTAGGGTAGAGTCTGCCACCTGCTCGGTGAAATCTGTCACTCCTGTGGACTCCTGAGCTCTGTAGGTCTCTCTGACAGATGTGGACAAGGATCTGGCTGTGCCCAAGGTCCTGTCAGTGTCACTGCTGGACGTGGCTGGCACGGGAGCACTGGTGGCAAAGGCAGCGAGGGAGGATTCCTCAACTGCTCGGTGGCTGCTTCTGACACCTGCAAGAGAATAAAATCAGGTTGGGTTCATGCATACAGAGCTGTACACTCGAGGGATTGTCTGCTCAGCACCCATTTCCAYRCTGCTCCTTGGGAGGGTGAAGGTGYTTCTCTGGGGAGAGGTGAATCTCTGAAATACAGGTTTATGTGCCTTAAAAGAGCCATGAAAACCCCAAACCCATATTCTACAGACCAGCCTGCACCGCAGATGTAGGTGACAGCCACAAAACTCCTGCAAGTGTCTCTGGCAGGAAAAGCRTGTGCACTTATTTCTAACAAATGCTTTTCCCAGCTTCATTAGCAATGAGAACATCGATGTTTTTTACTTTTTCACCCAAAACCTGAGTTCCACTCTCCCACCTCCCACCCACCCCACTGCCAGTGAAAAAAACACCCACGTAGCCAATAACGACTGAGGGGGATAGCTAACAAAAAACAGCTCAGGGATGTGAAATATCACCCAGCCCCAAGGCAGAGAGCTTTCAGAATAACCAACTTACCTCGGAAAGGACCTTCAGAGGCAGACAGGGAGCTGGTGAGCAAAGGACCCCCAGGAGGGCCTGGGAGATCGGTGGCTTCCTCTGAGCCATTGGGATGATGTGTCCCAGTCCCCAAGGAGAAACTGCTCCTCCCCAGGGAGCTTGTGGGGTTGGTGATGGTGGCAGAGTCCCTCGTCACCCCAGCTGWGTGGCCATTTGCTGGTGACATCTGTGTCCCCACTGCCACACTGGACATGTCATCACCCTGCGAGTCCAAGAGCAGTGCCACCTCTTCTGCAGCTGGGATGCTCTTGGGGGGTTCATAATTGCTGCTAAAGGCTGAAAAAAAGAAGAAAAGAAAGACAAAGCTGCATAAACATAAATAARAACTGTGTGGTATGTTTCATTCCACTATCAGCAGGCAATATATGTGTGGATATTCAATACGGAAATATTTAATACTGGGAAATCATTAAGACAGGGGGAAGAAGTGGTCTCTAAATAGGACCTGCTGAAGTTATTGCTTGCAAAACTCAACTGGAAGTTTTCAAGGAAAATCTATCCTCCCCATCCAACAAGAATAATATTYATCCATACTTTCACTTCTGTGAAATGTTTTTAAATGTACACAATGTGCCAAAYACAATATTATTCCTCCTTCCTTTAAAATAAAAAGGATGTCTTTTGTTAAGAAAGAGTCTTTAAATAAGAGTTCTGAGGTATACACCTATCCATCAAAACTCACTTGTGGAAGCACTTTCTGAAGCAGATGGTGATCCTGTGCGCAATGGGTCKGTGACACCTCTGCCWCCACCMCCCTGGGCACCCACAGACATCCCMGGGGTCYGGCTTTGGGCTGCAGAGCTGGTGATTTCAGCACCAGAGGTGGAAATCTCTTCCATGCTGACCASCCTGGTGCTGGCTGGCAGAGATCTGAATGTCCTCCCTCCACCCTTGGTGGCTCTTGTGGAGATGGAGCCACTGGTGGAGGGGAAATCTGAGCCTTTCCTCTCCGTGGCTGAGCTGCTGGACGGCTGGTAGCTGCTTCCAACGGCTACGGTACAATAAAAAATGGATTKATCCACATGAAATTATAAACAGATGGATCCATTTTCTCCCCAGCTGCTTACAGTGCACATACAGATATTAAGCATAGGAAGTTTTCAATCTGGACAAAGTGCTCTTCTGGAAAGGCAGGAGTCCCCTCAYCACAGCAAGACCTTGCACAAAACGCAGCTCTTGCTGCCGGGCTTTGTGAGAATGGGGTGGCCCAGACAGCAGGAAATGGCAGGACAAGGCCTGCAGGGACTTCCCTTTAAATACCACCTTTGCTGTAATATTGCTGGAAACAGGTTCAGGCTCTCTTTTTTTATTATTTTTTTTTTTTGGTGGCTTCAAACCGCAAAGGGAGGACTCCTAAGCACAGCCACGTTCCCATACGAGCCCACAGTTCACTACACACCCCTGGGCTCAGCAGGGCACTGTCCTCTGGACAGGATCTCAGGTTCTCTGCTGCCAGCAGCTGTGACAGAGGGGAGGGATGTGCCAATGTGAGAACCCTGGAGGTGTGTTTGCTCCTGGAAAGCCCTGGGTGCAAGATAACACCTCGGCAATACTGAGGTTTGCAGTAGGTTCATGTGCAAAGTCTCCATTTTTGAGAACTCCAGAAATCAGCTGCTGCACAGCAAGCAAGGGGAAGCTGTGGAGCTCAGGCATCTCAGGTTTGCTGTCCTGAGTGAGTTGTTAAGCACAAACACCCCACCCTGTSCAGCTGAGGGCAAACCCAGCCCGTGTGGCCACCAGGGTGGGTCCCAACCTCTCACCCCACTCCATCTCCACTCAGGCACAGGTCAAGGGCTCAGAGCTGCCTTTGCTCTGCTAGCACCAGCCCAGTGAAGATATTTCACAGCTGCAGACACCCACCCTGCAGAAAATACCATGAGAGCATCCAAAGAACTTGATTTTTTTTAAGTGGAAAATGCTGGGGGGTTTGGATCAAATTATTTTTTTCCATTGCTTTTTCCTGCTTTCAGCAGGGAATTTCAGCWAACCATCCAAATAATAAAAAACAGAGCACATGCAAAACAGAGCATCTCCTCAGTTTCAAGAAATCAAAAGCTATAAAATGGGTTCTCAAAGCTGTAAAACAAAGGCCAGCAGAGCTCACCTCTGAAAGAGCCGTCTGTGGGAGATGACGCTGTCCTCACAGGGCGGGTGGAGCTCCCTGTGACACCCTCGGGGTGTAGCACGATGTGGTCTGCACCAGCCTGGGGCTGTCCCAGGGAGCCCGGGAGGGCAGTGCTGGGTGAGGTGGCTGCAGTGTCCATGGTGGGGCTGCTGCCCAGCTCTGTGCCCCTCCAGCTGCTCGCTGGTTGAGAGGGACTGTCAGTGTCTGCAAGGCAATGGGGGAGAGCAGATGAGAGCCCAGAGATGAGCTTAGCTGCCCACCCACCATCCCCCATGGTCACCCTCCACCTGCCCCTCAGCCCCCTGTCTGTACCATGCCCACAGAAATTTCATGTTTGGAAGCTGCACCGAGTAATCAATAATTCTGAACACCAGGAGAAGCCACATGGGTTCTTCTCTCCACCCTCGTGCATGAAGCAAGCCAGAAAACTGCCCTGAGGACATGGTGAGGATGGAGAGCTGGACCCACAAAGCTCCACAATGCAGGAGATCCAGGTTTAAGTAACCCAGGCTTAATTAACCCAGGTTTAATTAATCCAGGTTTAATTAACCCAGGTTTAATTAATCCAGGTTTAATTAACACCTTGTTACTACAACTTGGAACACCTGCCCAGCATTCCCAGGCTGAACTGGGATGGCTCACCTGGATGATGAGATTCTGAAGATGAAGGTGGCAGCACTGTCCTCATGGTRTTGTTAAACCCCGAAGCATTCCAGACCTGTGTCCCTTCAGCCCAGTCAGCTTCCAGCTCTRGGGGTGTCCCCTCAGCAGTTGTAGGGGTGTTGGGAGAAGCCAGAGCCCTCCTGCCTCTCCCCTGGCTGCCTGCAGCATGGTGATGGCTTCCAGGGTCTGGAAAGCAACAGGGAGAGGGTCATGTTCCCCTGGAAAAGCTCCTTTGYCTCAGCTGGGTGGCAGCAGCATCACCTGCAGTGGTACCCAACCCTGTCACACACAACAGCTATCACAGCTGCATCYCTGTGTTTCCTGTTTAACAGAGCACAGTTTAACTGCAGGAGGGATTGATRGGGACAGAGGGTTTCTGTCGCCAAAAAATAATGGCATTTTAAACATTGTCTTCATYTGTGCATGGCACAAGAAACAGATTTTTTTTTTAAAGACATTAAAAATGCAGAAGGCAGCAAGGATCTGGTGCCAGAACAGCCCACAGCTGGCAGCCTGGGCATGCCAGCTCCACATTTTAGTCCCTCAGCAGAAAAAACCCAAGGAATAAAACAAAATAAAAAGAAAACCTCTATGCTTTTATCTTATTTCAGCTGGAGGTATAAAAAAAAACCCCTGAGGTGGGACAGGGCAACCAGCAGAGCTTTGTCCTGTTGCTGTGAGAAATGGGCTTTGATTCAAGTTCATGCTTAAAAGAGTACACTGGGTTACTTATGGCTGAAGGTTATGAACAAGCCCAAGGGTTCACTTGCAGGATTTCCATGTGAGGACCTCAGCTGGTCAGRTATCTTGGTGAGCTCTTTTAACCGAGGCTGGGCTTGCAATGGGGCCCAGCTCCTGCTGGGAGGAGGGGTGGGGACACCCAGGGGTCTCCACTCTTTGCACAGCCCTGGAGCTCAGTGGAAGGGCAGGGCTCTCTGTGTACTGCTGGGTGGGGTAAAACAGTGGCAGCTCCTGAGAATCATCTTCGCTGTGGTGTTAAAAATACAAACCCGGCTCCTGAGATTGGATTTCTCTCAAAATCCTCATTTCTAGCTGTGGGGAGGGAACTGTTCCTAACCCACTGGCTGTCCTCAGTCCCTGGGCTGGGAACAGCAAACACGGAGTGTCACACCCATAAACTCACCAGGAGGATGGCTGTGGGTGAGCAGGTGGGTCWCTATCCTGGCAGATGGGTTCTCCAGGGGTTCTGCTCCCAGTGGGGTGACATCCCCATCCCTGGCAGGGGGGTCAGCGTGCCCTGTGACCCTGCTTGCTGCTGGCACCACCCTGTGCCTGGCAGGCATTGATGTCCATTCCCTGCTCATGGCCACCATCGTCCCCAGCTCCACACTGTCCACAGGAGCACCAGGAGTCCTCAACTCTGTGCTTAAACTTCTCTCCTGATGGCTGCTTTCAATGACTAAAAGGAAAAACAAAACAAAACAAAAAACTTAGATCTAATTAGCACTGATGTGATAATAACCACCCATAACCACTGATGTGCAGGCTCAGCTCACTGCAGAAGCACCAAGGCCAAGCTCYGAGCTCATTTACTTACACTGGAGAAAAATTTTGCATAATCAAAACACAGACATGAAATTTATTTTTGGATTTGCACTGGTGGAAATTAGATTGGGCTGTGGGACCAAATACCAAAACCCACCTCTGTGCAAAAGATTAATTCAATTCAGCACCCTCAAGATTTTTTTGTGTTAGGAGAAATAAATCTTGAAAGGAGCAAAAAGGAAGCCTTAAACAAATAACAGATGGAAATACTCGCAGGTAGGGTCCATGGGAGGAGTGTGAAGGTCTCCAGAGCTGACAGCCCAGCACAGCCCATGTGTCCCATCCTGAATGTAAGATGGGAGGGGAGAGGGCCCACAGCTCTTCCCCTCTCTCCATGTGGCCAGTGCTTGCTGGACACCTGACCTCAAATCCATCAGCTCCAGAGAGCTGGCACAAAGCTGGCTGAGAGCTGCAGGGCAATCAGGAGGGTTGGCACAACCCACAGAGACACCACACTGGGCACTGGGGACAGAAGGGATCAGGGAATGGTGTGCATTATCCTGCCCATCCAGGTGCTGAAGCACCCCAAGGTGATGAAACATTTTGGCACGTTGAAATTAATGTCTACCAGAACAGGAGAAACAAGATGGAGAAGAAGATGGTGTATGAGTGGTTCCAGTGGTCTGGAGAATCCGGGTTTTCATCCTATGGTACCACCCAGGGCTGTGAGAGGATTTCCCTGCCCATCAGCTCACACAAAAACCAACAGCCACCATCTATGTTACAGCCCCAAGGCTTSGCTGGAACTGCAGCCTCAGATGACYTTCAAAGCCCACAACMAGWCCAAATCTGAAAYRGYAAGRTCCCAGTTTTATCCATCTTCCTTGTTACCAACACACAGTCTCTGTCATGTTCATGGCATCCAGCTAAAGGCAGTCAGGCTCTGCTCAAAAGCYCTGATGTTGAAAGTTAAACCTGTTCTGGGCCTCCAACCATTTTCCATAAGAAAATTGTCTCAGGRAAACCCCKATGGAACACTTYCYCCTTGTCTTGTACGTCCCCKCTGGAGCTGCTGTACCTGCCACAAYAGAGGTGGCAATTGCACAAGTGGTGCCCTCTATCCATCTGGAATAGCTTCAGCTCACCAAAAAACAGAGGGGTGGGCAGGACAGCCTGTGTTTCATCCTGGAGTCTGAGCCCTTTGTGGGCCAAGGAGCCAAGAGCTGCAGCAGAGCAGAGCCCCCAGGGTGCCTTTACTGGCAGCCTTTGCCTTGGCTGCAGTGAGCACCCAGAGCCACCCAGAGCCCCCTGCGAGCCACCTCCTGTCTCAGGGGACAAGCTTCTGGTCCTCACCAGGACAAGGGGGTGGGAAGTGGCAGGGGATGCTTACTCTGTCCATTTGCAAGCCAGTACCCTGTAATTGCAGCCCACAAGTCCATTTATAGCAGCCCCARAAATGTGGCTGTGCTGGAGGGAGCRCWGCGAGTTTCTCCATCCCCCTCCCACTGAAAGCTTTCAGCTGTGCTGACTGCAAACCTCAGTGGCCAGCTTTGCTGCACAGAGAGGAGGCAGATGCCTAAAGAAACCCTCAGAGGCAGAGGATAGTCAGAGGGAAATTCTGCTTTCTCAGGCTGCCAACTCATTTGTCAACAAGGGCTCCGGACAGGCAGGCTAAAATATACAGCACGACGCTGCAGCAGGCATTTCATGGCCCTTTCTTACAAAGGAACCCAGGAAATGCCATCAAACAGAGCCTTCAGCCGTGCTTCTGGACTGAATGAGACCAGACCAAAAGTAAAACACTGCTGTTTGCTTATCTGGTGGTTGTTTGCCCTGCAAATCCACCTCGGAGTTTTCTCTATCCTCTTTTGGCTCTGCAGAGCTGCTGGGAATAAACCGAAGGAAAACTCTTCCCCTTACTGTGGGCGCCAGCAAACCTGGCTCTGAGCACAGCCGGGGAGTGGAGGGGCTGAATGAGGAGCTATTATTTACAAAGACTTTTTAGAGTCATCTGGCATTTTTAACTCTGCCCTGCAAGGTGTGCCAGGTCCTGGTGCAGGGATGAAAACCTCAGCATGGGTTCAGCTCCTCACTTTGGTGGGTGCAGAGCATAAGCCATGCTGGAAAATCCAACCCACATCATGTAGTAAGGAAACCAAAAAAAATTGTGTTGTTCAACTAAATAGACATGAAATCTCACATCCATCAAGCCTGCCAGAAGTGCAAGATAACCACAATTTCCTCTTTGATTTGCCTGCAGAAATTAAGACTTCAAAGACGACCCTCCTCTGGAGCAGATGGACCAGATCAAACTTCTCCCAAAAAAGTCCACATGGGACCATCTGGCCTCCCCTGGTGCATTAAAGGCTTAAAGCAGAGTGGCCCTTTAGCTGAGGTACCAATCTGTCACTAACAATTTTGTCACATCCTAAGCTGCCAACAGCTTTCCACGGTTTAACTGCACACAACCACAGCCATTGAGAAATATTTGACTTCCAGCACAAAACCCTCCTGCCACCCACTGGATCGGTGTTTTCCTTCCCAGTTAAAACTCGCAGTGATGCTCACCAGACAGGTCGAGGCTCAGAGTTACTTTTTCTTCGCAAGCATAACAAGTACGTGGCTTGCTGTGAGCCGAGTTATGTAGCTCAGCCAGGACAAACAGATCAAGTTCCAGCTGATTTCTCTACACTTTGGGCTTGCCCCTGGCAGCCCAGCTGGATATCTACCTTGTAAGACTCCCGAAAAATATCCCTTTCGGGCCAACAATTTTCTGTCTCCATCCCTGACACAACGCAGGCATTGCCCTGTTTCAGAAACAGCTGCTGCCAAGGCAGCCTTGTGGTGATGCTCACAACTCGACCGTGGGGCAGCACAACAGCAAAAAGCACAATAATGCAAGCTGTCGGCAGTGACTGTGATCCCACACAGACACCGTCGGGCAGGGAGGGAGGAGGGATGGATCCCGCTAAAGCCAGGGGAGCAGCAGCATCCCCACAGACAGCATCTGTCAGGAGCGTGCAGCCAGCCAAGGCACACCACCACCTATCCCAGCCCCACTGCTTTCCTGCAGGCTGGACTTTTTTTTTTCCTCTCCGAAGGGCAGAAAAATACTTTCTTGACCGGGGAACACAAATTTAATCTGAGTTCGCCCACAAGGGAAGCCAAGAGCAGTTGCCTGGCTGCCCGGAGCAGCCCCTCCTCGGGAGGGTGGCGATGCCCTGGGGACCATTCCCGGGTGTTCTGCCAGGGCTGCGGCCACCCCGGCAGCATCCCATGCTAACGCGGGCTCCTCCCGAGGACGGGCAGCTAGAATCATAAACCCCACATCTGTTAGCGTTGCATAATCTTTAACATCAGCCGGGGCTCGCCGAGGGGAGAGAAAACTCATCTCAACTTGGAGAACTGCTTGGGGGCTGTAGGAAAAGGCTGGGAAGAAAGGCGGGCGGCACGGGAGGAGAGGCGGGGAGCGCAGCCGGGGCGGCGGTGCCGGGGGCGGGCGCTGGGCTCTGTTTTGAACGGCTGCTGCGGATGTCGGGATCATGGGTGGAGGCCGGTTGGGAGCCAAGTGAGTTTGTGCGAACAAAAGCTAAAGCCCTAAATCTGGACCGTCCAGGGCTCTCTGGGATTTTCAATTTCCTTCCTTGTTCTTGCTCTGAAAGAAGCAGTTCAAGGCAGGGGGGCGAGCAGTGGGGGTTGAAACAGAGCTTTAAAAAATTTCAAACTTGAGATGGGTGAGTTGAGTGTAAACACGCTGGTAATATTGCTCAGGGAGGGTCCCTCGTGTGCACTGAGTGCAGGAAAAATGCAAGAGGCTTTTAACCACATGCGGTCAACCCTGTCCTGCTAATTTTTTTTATATCAATACAAGGAAATATTCCATCTGGATTAAGAGAGGTGACAAGAGTGGGTGTATAGGGAAGAGTTGCAGAAGCCTTGCCAGAATCTCTCACCCTTCTGTGGGGTTTAGTTTGAATGTGGTACCCTATAGACACATTCTCTGGTCCTTCTGCTCCTCGTCCTCTCCCCGCTGCACCCCAGGCAGAGTAGGACAACAATTCACAGAACTTTCAATCATTTTAACCAAAATAGGAAGGATTTACGCCGGCACCAAAGGTGACTGGAGTTTTACTATGTCAGCTCAAGAAAAGTGATGGGGGTTTGATGCCAGCAGCAGCCCCTGCAAGCACTGAATGGTCAAGGGCCACCTGGCCACTTCCAGTGACAGGTGCCAACAGGGCTGGGGACATCAGCATGGTCCCCAGCCCCTCCAGTGCCAGGCCATGGCACCTTGCTTGCAGTCCTTCTTTATGACACAAAAGCAATGTGCATGTCCACACCACCTCCTTTCCAGGACCTGTAGAACCTCAGAGGATGCTAAAGGCCATTTGTGCTTCCAATGCTTTTTTTTCATTGTCCCAGAGCCTGATGCTC